AGTTAGGCCGAGAATCGTCTAAAAGTTGGACCCAGAATGCATCCAGAACGGTGTAGAGATACCCACGCTGAAATCTCCAGACGGGCCCGAAAATTTGCTATATCAGGCCCCCTGGGGCCCCCGGCCAGGAGAACAGGATGAGAACAATACACGGGGGGCTGCAATGGTTGGGAAGGGTTCAGTTTGTCGGCAAAGTTGGGCCGAAGAGGCATTCGATGGGGCCTCAAGAGCCGATCTTAGAGGCCCAGGTGGCCGAAGGGCGGCCAAAATTGGGCGAAAGTCGATTCCGAAATGGTGTTGGGAGTGATCTCGGATGCTAAGCTCGTCTTGGACGCCGTCTCGGATCTCGGATCCGCGGTGTGTTCTCAAAATAACGGGTGGGATGCAGCCAGCGGCGCGAAGGCGGTGCCTCTTTGGGGGAAATAAAACATTTGAAGCATGGGAGGGGTTCTCGAAATTACGTATCACATGCTCTTCAGTTGGGTGGGGGGGCGGGATCAAAGGCTATGCCATTCTGTCGGCCCCCAGAAGAGGTAAGACCCACCCGTTTGAATGTTGCTGGGTCTTTCTCACCTTTTTGTTTGCTTGTGTGGAGGCTTCTGGAGGCCGCCAATGACTTCTTGGAACCTCTGGGGACCTCTGGAGGCCTCCAGAGACCTCCGCAGACCTCGTACCCGATCCCTCGCTCTCCCCTCTTCATCCCCTTTCTCACCCTTTCTCATCCTCCTCCGCTGGAGGCCTGTAAAGCAGACGTCCAGAGAGGCTCAGAGACCACGAGGCGTTCTGTCAGCAGCGCATCGTTGGCCAGATCTGATCTAGCGAGCAAGCTTTCGTGATAGCTCAGGTACCCTCACAACAGCTATCCCTCCTCTTCCTTACGGGAGACAGGGAGAGACAGAGAGGGAGAGAGAAAGAGAGAGAGAGAGAGAGCAAACAAAGAAAGATATACGTAAACCAGAAAGCGAGGTCCGAAGCACCCTCGTGACGATTGGGGCGAGGGGAGAGACAGCCAAGCCAGCAGCAGTCACCAGGTGCCAAGCCGCACCACATCGCATCTCAGAAGCGCGGATAGGCTAGCACATTGTCAAGACGCTGGAATGAGGAACAGCTTGGGTTCGGAAGGGTCTCGCTGTTCGTGCGTCCTTCCTTGGCTGCTTCTCTAGCCCTCCCTCCTCGTGTACGCAGGCGCTTCTGGTGCCAAAGAGGAGCGTCGTTCCCTATCTAGCGCTCCTTGTTTCATCAGCCTGGCTGTAAGCCTGCAGGGGCGAGACGGATGGCACGTGGGCGGCCCAACGCATGCAGGTGGCCACCACAGCTCCACAGTGGCGGCCACCAGAGTTCCTCCTCCCCCTCCTCCCTTTTCTTCCTCCTCCCCCAATCCTCTTCCTCCTCGTCCCCATTCACCTCTCTCGGGGCCTTCCCATCTTTCTCCCCCCGCTCTGCCACCTCATCCTCCTCCTCCTCCTCATCCTCCTCCCCTCCTCCTCCTCTCCCTCCCTCCTCCTCCTCCTCCTCTCTCCTCCTCCTCCTCCTTGCTCCTCCTCCTCCTCCTCCTCTGCCTCCTCCTCCTCCTCCGCCTCCTCTGGCCTTCTTCGTCCGCGTCAGCCCTCCTCCGTCTTCCTTCGTCTTGCCGGCGCCGGCGGAGAGTGCTCCAGCGGTTCGTGGGATCGCGCCTCGGGACGCGGTTGCCTCGGCCCTATCCGAAGGTTTGCATGTGTGCTTCCGCGGCCCCACGCGGGCCCCAAAGCCCGGAGGTGTTGAGCATGATTTTCGAGCATCTCCTTGATCCTCCTCCTCCTCCTCCTCCTCCTCCTCCTCCTCCTCCTCCTCCTCCTCCTGCTCCTCCCTGGGGAAGCAAGGGGCTAATGGAGCGCGCGTGCATCGCCTACGCCAAGTTACGGGACTACTTGGATTCTGAAGTCGGCCGTGGGTGGACGCGCCTGGATTTGACGACAATGTGAACGCCTTGCAGCGAGACAACATCCAGGCTAGAATCCAAGACGTGTCCGAGGGAAGCCTTCCAGGTCACATCAAGGAGTCCGCCGCTTCGAGGCCATTCAAATACCAATATGCACCGGGGAACAGTGGCGTGCCCCGTTGGCCGCTCCATCACGGACACCGTCGAAGCCTCCAGGGAGCTCGCCCGGCATCGGGGTGAAGTACATTCCGATCGCGTCGAAGGCCGGCCAAGCGGTTTGATGATATCATCCAGCCCGTCCCTGCAGCGGTCTTCTGGGAGCTGGAGCCCGCAGAGTTATGGAATCACCAACTCAAAACAGACGCCCAATCCCGAAAAATGCGAGGGCCAGAGCAGAACGCAGGCTCCTCGAGACTTCGGGGAGGGAGATTTCGGGGTAGGCCACGGGGACAACGACGAACGCAGACCATACCCCGAAATCTTTGGCCGATTTTCGAGTCCTCGGTGAATCCGCGATTTTGAGATTGGGAATGTGTTTTTTTCTGGTAATGCCAGATCATGCGACGCCTCCCTGATTAGACTGCCGGGCCCGACTGCCTGTGCTACTCGGCGTGGCTCCCTTCATGGGAGGGGCCTGTTCGTGCACTCCACCACTCCACAGGCTTTTGCACGCACGTCCTCAGCACTGACTGCGCGCACCCAAAGTTCAAGTGGGCGTACGCGATCCTCCTGGCCACAGGCGACGAGGCTGAGCCAGATGGCACAGTCAAGCGCGCGGCCACGCACGCCAGCCCACTCACCTTGAATAATGCCGCAAACGAGCTCATATGTCGTGCTCCGAACGCTCCTCTCGACAAGTCTGCGAGATCACTGCAGCTGGGTTCCAACGAGGACTTGCCCCACGGAGGTCTAACATCGGCAACACCATAGGCCTGGAGAGTAAGTTGCTGCATTGACTTGTGCAGGATGCTCAGCGACGGGCGTACCGGCGGCGCGTCGCTAGGCGCGTCGCGTGCCAGAACCGCGGCCGCCGCCCTCCCCCCTTCCCCCCCGGAAGAGAGGCCGCTAGAGAAGCGGACGCCATTTTCCACGTCCTTCGGCGCATGCGGGTCCCCGAAATCCTCGTCCAGGCCATCCAGAGCCTCTGTGCCGACGGCTGGAGACAGCGGTGCAGCCCTGCGGCAGCTCTGCGGATGCCTCCCCGAGATGGGAGCCCGGTGCTGCAGGGGCACCCGCCGGGGCTGCCCGCCGAGCGGGGGGGCCTCTTCGCGCTCACGCTCCGGCTCTGTGCTCCGGCTGCTCGCCCGGCGCATCCCCCCAGAGCTCGGCCAAGCAGGGGCGTTCGCCGACGGCGTCGGGACTGCGTGCTGGAGCGTCATCAAAGTCTTAGCCGAGGCCCTCGCTGTCTGGCCGAGATCGGTCTGACGGCGCACCGGGGCAAGACCTTCCCAGTCTTCCCGCAGGGGATCGACGAGTCGACGACCAACCGCTTCCTGCAAGCACACGGTTGCTGCCCGTGGAGACTTTCCGAGTTCGGACGTAGGGCACGCACTCGGGCCTCGTCTTGGGGCGCGGTGAGGACGAGTTGAGCTGGGAGGGGCCCGCCCAGACGTACCAGCACATCAACACCACTGTTAGAGACCTCAATTTCAGCTTGACCAACACAGCAGCTCGGTATCACCAGCGGGCTGTCCCTTCTCTCACCAATGTAGGGCAACTGAGGTCACCATTCGCTGCCGCATACAGAGCTGAGCGCGATGCACTTCTGCGACTGGTTGGGGGTCCGAGGAACGCCAGTCCCGCCCCAATCGCATGGCACCTCGAGGGCCTCGGGTTCCCTATCGAAGCGCGCCGACGATCATTGGTCACCGAGGCTGTCCAGCACCGATGTGCCTTTCAATCGGCCACGTTGGCTCTAGCGGAGCGGCTCTTTTACGAGGAATTACGGTAGCATTGGTGAGCGCGCCATTTTGTGGGAGGCACAGGCGTTTCGGAAATCATTCATGGATTTTAGTGTTATACGGGGCTACCGTGCGATTACTCGGATACCACAGGCTCCTCTTGGTACTCCGAGAGTCCAGCATGCTGCCGAGCGTGTTCTCCACCTGTCACATCGTGATGGCGAGTTCATGACTCACCCCTATTTGCTTAGATGCGGGCTGGCTGGTGCTTCTGGAGGGCGGTCTTGATTTCTCTCCATGTAACGTCCTTCTTTCGGCCAGAGGTGCTCCACAGCGAAACCGTTGGTGGGTGCACCTATCAAAAGTCGCAACACAGAGCCACTCAATCCATACACCAGTTCTGCCCACTTGAATGAAGTGGTGCAGTTGTCCCCCTGGGCGCCAGACGCTGAACTATGGCTCGTACGTGGTCTGTCTGTCCGTCCCACTCCCTCCCCCAAGGCCGCCCCCGCTTGCCCTCCCCTTCGCCCCCCCCCCCCTCCTCCCACACAGCCGCCCGCTGCCTCCTCCCCAGCGCTGGTCCGTCCGACCCCCTCCTGCTTCCAGCCCTCGCCGCGCATCGCGCGCGCGCCCGCCAGTTTCCCGATCGACGACCTCGCTCGACGTGCGCCCCTCGCGTGCTTGCCCAGCCCTCAGGGGGCCCTGGAATCGACAGGGCTGCGTTTTCCTCAGCTCCGTTCTGCAGCTCCTGCTCGTGGTTTCGGCGCTGTCTCTCCCTTGGTTCCGTCGCCTTTTTTGTTTCCAACTCCGGCTCCGATCCCGGAGCCTCATTTGTCCCGCTTCTGGGCACCGTTTTTCTTACAGTCGGACCGAGGTATAAGATCGAGGTCGGTCCGGGGAGGGTACCCTAATGCTCTTCGTGTTTGCTGGATGTTCTTGCGCATCCTGGGGATGGTACCCTTGGATGTTCTGTGTGTGTGTTGGCCTGCGGAGGGCCTCATGACCTTGAAGGATGGTTTTCTGTCCTAGGTCCGGCCGTACCGTCTTCACGCTCAAGAGGCAGTCGTTGGGGAAAACGGCGAAAGTAGAATGCCTTGCCGCTTCTGGACCCCACTAAGGCCCAGCCCACGAAGGAGCACGATTGCACGTTTGATGGCGCTTCCCGCGCGTGCTTGCGTGAGGCGACTCTTTGGAGAAGCACTCCAAGGACCTGCAGGAACTGAAGGGCAACCACGAGGCGCTCTTGAGGGACGGAGGATTTCGGGTGTTCGGATGTTTCGGGGGATGTTCACGACATAAAACAAATCGCAGGTGTTCGATGCTTCCTAAGCCGGGAGACTTCTGAGGGGATCCAGGGGGTCCAGGGTGATTTGGTTTGTTCGGATGTTTCCATGGGGTCAAGGGCGAGGAGCAGGATCGAGGTTCGGGTTTGTTTTACAACTTCTGCGCCTCATGGAGGCTTCTTGTCGCAACGGCTGGATCCGCTTCGAAGTTCTGGTCAAGACCCACCCTGGGACAAGTTTGGGGTGCGCTTTTTGAGGGGAGGAAGGGGAGCAACAGTATGAGGCGGAGGAGGAGGAGGAGGAGGGGGGCAGGAGGAGAAGGAGGGAGGACAGGGAGGGCGAGGACGAAGGTTGTCGCCGATTTCGGCTTCTGTGGTCCCGTGTCAGCCCCATGGGCCGTCAGAATTCTGAACGAGTGGACGAACGAGGAGGAGCAGGAGGAGGAGGACGCGAGTAAATCCAGGATGTGCCAGCGATGCTGCAGTACACCCTCACAACCCAAGTCTTCTCATCACAACTCTCTGCCAGCATTCCTTCTCACCAGGGGAAGCTCCCCTTCAAAGACACACTCCCCATGGGCCTGCCATTCATGCCACAGCCCCGTTCTGGAAAGCATCACCTTCCATCTTGCTAGCTGGAGCAGATGCACAGTCCAATCCATGAAGCTTGGGCTGCTCGTCAACAAGAGTACCTGTATTGAAATTGAGCCGCCGTCCAACCGTGAAAGCGTTGCGCAGTTATGAAGGATCCGACCATCGAAGTCGATGAAGTCTCAAGCGAGAGCCCAACATTTAACACGAGCTGGTTTTTTTTAGCGTGGTTTGCAACAAAAAATCCCAGCATAAGTTCAAAAGGAATTCCAAGCCATAGCCGCATTTTGAGCACAGTTCACCGTCCACCACTAGCCACCGAGGCCAGGGGGAATACATGGGCGCAGGTGCCAGTGCTTCTCTCGCACATCGACAGCCTTGCGGGCCACGCTTGAACTGAGCGTTTACGCCGCGAGTTTCATCCCTCCTCTCCTCCCCGTCCTCCTCTGTCATTCCCGTCCTCGTTCTTCCCCTCGGGGATGCCGTTGTGCGTTTCTGGTAGTCTTGAAGTGGCCGCATGGGCCGAAGGGTATCTCCACACAGCGCCGTAGCATCTTCTCCTCCTCCACTTATTCGTATTCCCACCTCAGGTGGTGCCGGGTGTTAGTACTGGCCGCTTGGGGCCATCAGGGGCTTGAACGCAACACCGCCTGCCGCGTTCACTTGCCAGACGCTCTCCCATTCCGCCACTCCTTATCCCCATCTTGACCCCATTCGCGAGCAGGGGAGGTTCCTGTGCGCCGCGTCCTCTGCGTTCGGGTCGACACCGTCGAAGCGAGCGAACCTTCAGGCGACTTCGCTGCGGGAAAGTTGTCGCAGCTGTTGGGAAACGTGAATGCCAATGCCAATGCGCGGGGCACTGAGGCGAGAGCAACGTTTTGAAAACAGGCCTCCGTGCATCTTTGTGGCTGTTTGGGGGGCAGTCTCAGGCGCAACGCCCGGCCCGCCCCTCGACGCGCCCGTTGGTGCGACGACGGGGTGGCAGTGGCCCCACCTCCGTGCTTGGGTCGTAGATCGGAAGCCTCCTGGATGCCCTTGAGGGACTCCTTGGGGCACATCGGGGCCCTCTTCAGGGCGTCTTGGAGCCTCTTGGGATCTCTTCGGAGCCTGCTGGCAGTCTAGGGGGACATACATAAGGGGGAGGGCCGCTGGGGCACCTTCGAGTTCCCCCGTTTGGGTTCCTTGGGGGGCGGGCCTCGTGGGCTCTTTTGGGCGTGAGAAGGCAGCCTTGGGGCTACTTTGGGAGTCTGTTCCAGACCATCCTGTGGTATAGGGTCCTCGTTTTGAATAAGCAGCGCCCCGAGTCTTCCTTCCCTGGTTCCTGCCTTCCTGCCTCCTCCTCCTCCTCCTCCTCCTCCTCCTCCTCCTCCTCCTCCTCCTCCTCTATCCTCGTCGTCGGCGCCGTCGCACCCATTTCGGCAAACCCCTCACACGCGCTTCGTGGCCCCACAGGGAGCTCTGGCGAAGGCCCCAGTGAGAGCGTTCACGGCGCCGCCGCGCCCATGTCGGAACACCCCTCACACGCTCCGTGGTCCCATAGGGAGCCCCAGAGAAGGCTCCAGTGAGAGGGTTCGCATGGTGCCGCCGCCCCCATCTCTGCACACCCCTGACACGACTCTTGGCCCTATAGAGAGCTCAACCGAAGGCCCCAGCGGCAGGGTTCTCAGGGTGCCGCCGCACCAATTTTGGTACACCCTTCACACGGCTCGTGGCCCCGCACCCTTTCCGGCGCACCCATCACACGCTTCGCGGCCCCTTTCTTTCGTTTGGATTTGTCGTGCGATGCTCGCAGTTGCAAACGGTTGGCTCGCCAGGATAAGTTTAAGCCGTGAAGGACGTTCTTGAGATCGAAAAGGGAATAAAGTTCGAATCATCGTACAAGCGTATGTTTCTCAATGAAGTGGCCGTTGGAATAGCCCCCGTTGCCCCCAAGACGGCCAAGGAGGCCCCCAAGAGAGGTCCAGGACGGGCCCCAGGGACCACCGAAGTTGGGGTTCCGAGCCACTCCCCTTGGGGATCGGGACAAGTTCGCGACAAATCTTGGCCGCTAAGGAGTACGGGCCCTGCGGCTTGCAAAGGGCAAAGAGCAAGTACAAGATTCAAGCTTCTAGGTATTAGGGGACCCAAGGACACGCCACTCAGTGTCTACGGCACGGTGGCGAATTCGCAAGGAAGAGAATTTGATGGACGAGGAGGAGGATCAAGGTCTTTGGGCGTCTTCTGAGTTCTTGGACATTCAGAGGTCTTTGGACGCCTGATGAAAGTTTCTTAAGACGTCTGAGGACTCCCGAGGACCCCCCACAGCCGCCGAGGCCTCCCCTCTGGAGGAGGAGGAGGAGGAGGAGGAGGAGGAGGAGGAGGAGGAGGAGGAGGGGCTCGCCACGGCTGGCTCCGCTTCGGCATCTTGGTCGGAGCGCGTCCTAGGACGGGCTTGGGGTGCGACTCCGGGGACGGAGGATCTAGATTTGCTGGCATCACGAAGAAAACAACGGACTCATGTTTGGTCTGACTTGGATATTTGAGAGCCCTTTTGGAGTTCAGGCGCAATCGCAAAACAGGCAGCAATCAGAAACTTCCTCTTATGTCTTCTCATCCTGCTGCTCGTCCTGCTCATACTATCCTTTTCCCTCCTCGTCCTCGTGTTCCTCCTCGTCCTCATTTCCTCCACCACCTCGCCGAGAAAGGGACGTGGAAAGGGAGGGGCACTGGGGGGGACGGGAACACACGCGGAGAGGACGAGCAGGAAGAGGAGGAGGACAGGAAAAATTTGCGGAGAGGGTGGAGGAGTGAACGAGGAAAGCGGGGGACGTGCTTAGAGGACGGGGTGGTGGCTACGCCGATTGGGAACCCAGGCCCACGTCCGGCGGACGGCTCACCACGCCAACATGGAGGAGCGCATGAGCTTCTTGGAGCAGGCGCGACTGGCAGCTGAAGGTCGTCGTCGTCCTTGCCAAGCGTTTAGTTGTCCTCCTCTTCCTACTTCCCACCCTACGCCGGCCTAGGCTGTTTACACTAAGTTCTAAAGTTATAAACCTAGACTTAAAATCCAGGCGGTAGAAGTTAGAACTTACACGTGCCAAGGATCTCAATCGTTAAAGAGGATTGGGGCTTCGAATTCCTAGAGTTAGATTTTGAGTTCTCAGGTTACCCGAATCAGAAATGCCAGGGACATGCCAGGGCCAGGCAGAAAAATGAAGCCGGAGAGAACTTTGCAAATTAATTTCTCAAGTTAAAGAAGAATATGAATTCTAATTGAATTCGAGTTAAAGTTGCAAGGGACGTGCCCGGGCCAGACAGAAACATAGAGCTGCAGAGAAGTTTGCAAATGAATGTCTAGAGAAACGAAGGATTTTGAATTTTAGGGGAATCCGAATCAGAATTACCAGGGACGTGCCAGGGCCAGGAAGAAACATTGAGCTGGAGAGGAATGTGCATACGAAATTATAAAGGTAGAGAAGAATTTGAATGTTAGGTGAGTTCGGATTAGAATTGCCAGGGGCGCGCTAGGGCCAGGCAGAAAGATAAGAGTTGGAGAGGAGGTCCTGGAGTTAGAAAGGCATTTGAATGTGAGGTGAATTCGAATTAGAATTGCCAGGGACTTGACGGGCCAGGCAGATAACATTGAACTGGAGAGGAATCTGCATATGAATTTCTAGAGTTAGACCGGATTTTCGATGTCAGGGGAAGCCGGGTCAGAATTGCCAGGACGTGCCAGGGCCAGGCAGAAAAAAAAATGAGATGAATTTCTACATGAATAAGAAATGTCTGCTACATTACAGCATGAATTGATTTAGGAAGTGATCACTGTTGTGCGCACTGTCGGCAGGTATAGCAATCATTGGGCCGGTCAGTAATAATGCAGGCCAAGTTTGTCAGTAAGTGGAATTCGAGCATGAGTTTCTAGAGTTAGAGACGATTCTGAATCTTAGAGGAGTTAGAGACAAGTTTGAATAGAAAATCCTAGAGCTAAAAAGGAATATGGCCACTCGGTGCCAGGAAGGAAAGTGGAGTTAGAGAGGAATTCGAATAGGAATTCCTAAAGTTAGAAAGGATTCTGGCCATTTGGGGCCAGGAAAGAACATGGAGTTAGAGAGGGATTTGAATAGGAATTCCTAAAGATAGAACGGATTCTGGCCATTCGGGGCCAGGGAGGAATATGGAGTTGGAGAAGAATTACATTAGGAAGTCCTAAAGTTAGAAAGGATTCTGGCAATTTGGGGCCAGGAAGGAAAATGGAGACAGAGAGGAAGTTGAGTAGGAATCCCTACAGGCAGAAAGGATTATGGCCACTCGGGGCAAGGAAGGGACAAACAAGTAGAGAGGAATTCAAATAGGAGTTCCGATCCCGCAATTTGGGGCCAGGAAAGAAAATTCATGCAAGAAGGAATCTACACAGGAGTTCGTAGTGTTATGAAGGATTCTGGCCATTCGGGGCCAGGACGGAACATGGTGTTAGAGAGGACTTTCTAAAGTTAGAACGGGTTCTGGCCATTCAGCCAGGAAGGGAGATGGAGTTAGAGATGAGTTGAATGAGGAATTCCTAGAGTTAGAAGAGCGTCTGGCCATTTGGGGCCAGGAAGAAACATGCAAGCAGAGCAGCAGAGCGTGATTCAGATAGGAATTTCGAGAGTTAGACAGGATTCTGCCCATTCGGGGCCAGGAATGAAAATTGCTTTAGATAGATATACACAGGAATTCCTAAAGTTATGAAGGATTCTGGCCATTCGGGGCCAGGGATGAAATCAAGTTACTAAGGAATGTGAATCGGAATTCCCAGAGTTGGAACGGATTCTGGCCATTCGGTGCCAGGAAGGAAAATGGAGTTAGAGAGACATGTAAGGTTTAATTCCTAGGGCTTATGGCTATTCGGGGCCAGGGCATAAAATGAGGCAGAGGGGAATGTGAATCGGAGTTCTTAGACTTAGAGAAAATGTCGACCATTCGGTACCAGGAAGGAAAATGGATTAGAGAGACATGTAAGGCTTAATTCCTAGGGCTGGAAAGGATTATAGCTACTCGGGGCTATGAAGGTACATTGGGCTAGAGAGGAGCGTACATAGAAATTCCTGGAGTTAGAAAGGCTTCTGGCCATTCGGGGTCAAGGAAAAAACATGAATAATAGAATGATTTAAATAAACGAGACAAGGAACACACTTTCGGCGAGAAAGAAGGGATGGCGAGGGAGCCAGTCCCTGGCAGACGCGGGGAAGCGCGCGAGCGCTGCGACACGCTGGCAAGCTACAGTTTCGAGGACGGGGAGGAGCGGCCAGAAGCACGTCATTTCGGGTATGGGGGAGTGTTCCTTGTCTTCCTCCTCCTCCTCCTCCTCCTCCTCCTCCTCCTCCTCCTCCTCCTCCTCCTCCTCATCATCATCATCATCATCATCATCCCTCTCCTCATCCTCCTCCACTCCCTCTTCTCTTCTCTGGGGGGCCCGCGCTTCGAGCAGCCCGCGGGCTCCTGGTTACGCTCTTCCTCTAGTTCGGTGGAGGAGGGGGAGGGAGGGCGGGATGAGGGTGATGATGGGGATGGGGGGGAGGAGAACGAGGAGGAGGGGAAGGAAGGACGATGGCGAGGAACAGGGGGAGGAGGAGGAGGAGGAGGAGGAGGAGGAGGAGGAGGAGGAGGAGGAGGAAAAGAAGGAGGAGGAGGAGGAGGAGGAATGTGAGGGGGAGGGTGTGGACGGGGGGGGCAGCACTGTCGGTCGGTCGGAATAAGCAGACGGGGGGCCACGGGGCGGAGGGGGGGGGGAGGGGCAGGGTCGGTCGGTCGGAATGTGCAGACGGGAAGCCATGGGGGGAAAGGGGGGCAGGGTGACGGGAGGGCACGGTCGGGCAAGGCGGGGCCAGCAGACGGGGTCACGGGGCGGAGGGGCGCGGGGGGGGGGGGTTGAGGGCGAGGAGGGCACGGTCGGGCAAGGGCGGGGGCACGGCCGGCCGGTCTGAATAAGCAGACGGGGGCCACGGGGCGGAGGGTGCGGGGGGGAGCAGGGGGACGGGAGGGCACGGTCGGGCAAAGGGGGGGGGGCAGCACGGTCGGTCGGTCGGAATGAGCAGACGGGGGGGGGGGCACGGGGCGGGGGGGTGCAGGGGGGGCACGGTCGGGCTGTTGGAATATATATATATATATATATGTTTGTATGTATGTATGTATTTGTATAATATATATATACATATATATATACTATATGTGCAGACGGGAAGCCACGGGGGGAAGCGGAGCAAGGGGACGGGAGGGCACGGCCGGGCAAGGGGGGGAGGGCACGGTCGGTCGGTCGGAATCGGGAGGGGTGCGGGGGGGGGAGCAGAGGAAGAGGGGGCACGGTCGGGCAGGGGGGAGGTCGGTCGGTCGGTGTCGGAATAAGCAGACGGGCGGTCGGTCGGTCGGAATGAGCAGACGGGGGCGGAGGGGTGCGGGGGGGGGGGCCGGGGGGGGAGAGCACGGTCGGGCAAGGGGCGGGCGCGGTCGGTCGCTTGGTCGGAATCAGCAAACGGGGGCCATGGGGCGGAGGGGTGCAGGGGGGCAGGCAGAACACATGGGGGCGACACGCATCCCTCGTGGTCCAGAGACCACAGTACACCCAGGCCGCACCCCTGCAGGTATCCCAAAACACGCAGGCAGCACACGTCCCAGCATGTATCCTGGCTCACGGAGGCAGCACACTGCCCTGCACACATCCCAGCACACATCCCATTTCAGCGCACATCCCAGGCACGGTCGGTCGGTCGATACAAGGCAGTGCGAGATCACATTGGTAGGTATGATAACGAATTCATGGAGTTAGAAAGGAGTATGAAAGGAGTATGGCCATTGGGGGGCATGAAGAAAAATAGAGTTAGAGAGGGATGTAGATGAAGGCCTAGAGACTAGAAAATATTCCAGCCATTTTGGGGCCAGGAAGGAAATATACTTAAAATGGAATTGGATTGGAGTTCTTAGGGTTAGACAGGAGTCTGGCCATTCGGGGCTAGGAAGGAAATTTGAGTTTGAGAGGCATGTAATTAGGAATCCTCATATCGTTAGAGAGGAGTCTGGCCATTCGGGACAAGGAAGGAAAATGAAGATAAACAGGCATGCAAACAGTACGAATTCCGAGAGTTAGGAAGGATTCTGGCGATTCGGTGTCAGGAAGGAACATGGAGTTAAAGAGGAACTTCAATAGGATTTCCTAGAGTTAGAAAGGGTTCTGGCCACTCGGGGCCGGAACATGGTGTTAGAAAGGATTTTAAAGAGGAAATCCCAGAGTTAGAATTTTTGATGGCCATTCGGGGCCAGGAAGGAAAATGGAGCTGGAGAGCAATTTGAATCGAAATTCTTAGAGCTAGAAAGGATTCTGGCCATTCATGGCCAGGACGGAAAGTGTAGCTAGAAAGGAATCCAGATTGAAATTCCAAGAATTAGGAAGGATTATGTGGCCATTCGGGGCCAGGAAGGAAAATGGAGTTAGAGAGGAATGGTAACAGGAACTCCCAGAGTTAGAAAGGATGTTGCCGATTCGGGCCCAGGAAGAAAAATTGAGTCAGAGAGGAACTGGCATAGGAATTCCTAGAGTTATGAAGGATTCCCGCCACAGGGGCCAGGAAGGAAATGGAGTTAGAGAGGAATGGAATTAGAAAAACCTAGACTTTAGAACGGAATCTGGCAATTCGGAGCCAGGGAGGACAGTGGAGTTAGAGAGGAATGTAAATAGGAACCACTAGAGTTAAGAAGGGTTCTGGCCATTCGAGGCCAGGAAGGAAAATGGAGTTAGAGAGGCATGCTGCTTCGAATTCCTAGCGTTGAAAAGGATTCTTGCCATTCGGGGCCAGAAAAGAAACTGGAGTTAGAGGGTATTGCAAATAGGAGTTCCGAGAGTTAGAAAAGATGTTGGCCATCCGGGGCCAGGAAAAAACAGGGAGTTAGAGAGGAATTTGCA